TGAATACATAAATACAAGTAAATGTATTTTGCGGTCGATTTCGGTAATGGGGTAATTGAAAAATGATCTCAATAGAGGACAAGTAAAAGAGGGATAAGAATTGAAGGTGTTTAGATTGTTCTAATTCTTTTTAATAATTGATCAACACCGTCTAATCTAAAATGCTTGGGCGAATTTGGAAGCCAAGTAAATATTTTTCAGAGCTTTTATTAATCCTTCTTAGTGCTGCTAATTTATATTTTAGACCTTTCCTATTGGGTTAAAAAAGCGAAAGAAAAATCTACAGACACACACACACTCACTCATTCTCTCCCTCCATCTCTCTCCCCCCCGCCTCTCTCTCTCTCTCTCTCTCTCTCTCTCTCTCTTTTTCTCTCTCTCTTTTTCTCTGTTTATCTTCCTATTGTATATTTATATAATTTACTTTCCTTATATTGAGTTTCTAGGTCTTCTAATGAATAGAAGACAAAAGAAAATGATTAATAAAGTATATATTTAGAATGAAAAGATAAATATTAACTCAATTAAGTCGAATAACGACTCTGAATTTATCTATTAGGATTTTGACAGATAAGAGGAATACTGACCTCGTGTTAAAATCAATTGATATTACAGCTAGGAGGAAAATATTGATTGAATATCTTTCAGGATCACTTTCTCTTGTATCGGGCGATTATAGATGAGGGTAATCGTCTCAAATTTAGCCTATTAGCCTTTGAAGTTTATAAAGCTGATCAGTTCTTTTGTAGTTAATTCGGGAAAAGTATTCCTGCCCTTTATCTGACGTCATTAATCTGCACCAGTACAATTATGGTTTAATATTTATATGAATTGTTTGAAAAAATACTCTAAATTACATTGCCGTTATCTTATTACTCTTCCAATTGGTGATAATCTGGTTGGCTTTTGTTATATAATTGATAGTGTTGTTTTTATATATAGAAAAGTCTTATCTTTAACTACCATCCCCAAGGCTTATTGTAGAACAAGGAAGTTTATCTTATTTACCAGCGATGAAATTTCATCTATATCGCTCGTTATAGTCGCTATTGACCGATTCATTTACGTGTCTTATCCATCGGGGTCTAAAACCATCTTGACTTAACAAAAACTCATTTATTCTCTCATTCCCGAAATACTTAAATTCTTTACGCGTACAATATCACTGAAGCTGAAACAGTAGAACTATGTACACTTTAATTCGCCTCCTACTGTATATTGGCTAGATCACAAAGGCAATTAAAATTTAATATGGTTATATCTTATTAGGCTAACTTATTTATTCTTCTACCTACTCAATTATTCCGAAAGTTATAAATATTGTAATAAATAGTAATAAATCTACCTAAAAAAGATAGGAAAATTCCATTCTAAATCGTATACAGCATTTAGAATTAATATTCAATGGGGGCAATACTCACTTATTATAAATCATTATTTTAATTCAAAACTGAAGTCATGCGTAGTGGAAAATATCAAATGGTAGTAGCAAGGTATCGAGTATTTTTAGAACCAAATGGATAATAAGGGAGTGCTAGTTGAGTAAGGGGTGGGTGGATTAAAGAGAGAAAACTAATTGTTACCGACAGTATATTTTAACGATAATAAAAATTATCTGTAATTGTTGATTGATTATAAATTGTAGCTTTTTTTTTTAAATGCTTTGTTTGCTTGTTTGCTTGCTTGCCTTTCCTCCTTCTCATACGTTTCACAACCTTCGCCCCTTATGTTTGTTTTTTCTTTTTTTTTTTTAGTTTCTGCAAAATTTCTGCAATACCCTTCCCTCAAATCTAATTGTAGAAAATTATGTATTCTTATCAAGTTCATTTTTGGCATCTAGTCTGCGGCCTCAATTCTGAAAATGCTGTTTTAAGTCAGTTAATTGTTTATGTTCCTATTCTCGGCACGCCTTAGACAGATAATCGAAGATGGGAGAGGAGCAAATTAAGCAACCAATTACTTATTGTTCCATCCTTGCCATCTCTATGTCTTTTTTTAAGTTCTCTTCCGAGAAATATAAATTTATCTATGTTCTATTGAAGTCGTCAAAGATTTCTTAATGTTAGTTGTTCAACCATTCTCGTCGGCGAACAGGTAATAGAAGTAAAGAGACGAACAATTCCGATTGTTCTATTCAGTAGTGCCATCTGTTAACTTTTTTTCCTTTACTAAGTGGTAAACGAGGAGAAATGATAAGCCGGTATGAGGAGTGGGAAGAAAATGAAAGTTGTTTTCTTCTCTCTATATAGAATTTCTCAAAAGGGGAGGGGGGATGGGGGAAGAAAGATTACATATCTGTTTCCGGATCGTATAAATTTTATCGTCGGTAAAACTCTTCCTTTTTTGCTCGCTTATAAATAGCAGAAAATGAAATAAACCAGCAAAGGAAAATAGATGAAGAGACAAAAAAAGCTTTCTAGAAGAAAGAGTATATAAACTCAAAGAGACGGTGTCCGTCTTGTCCACCAAAGATGAAAGGCAATGAGTTGCCTGATAGGGTTTACTCATCTCACAATGTAAATAATATTGAGTTCGTTGTTTGTTACACTAGGCCTAAATTATGAATGGGCAATATTGAGTTGTATGTACTCGATTGGGTGAACCAACGAAACGTTTAGTATTTCAAATAGTTATAAAATAGCATTTGTACCACTTAACAAATGCTTATTGTGATTATATTATTAGTAAGATTCTATTAGATTAACTAATACTATAATATAAGTTCACTTATCGAATGTTTGTTGTTTATCTATTGTTTGTTTGGTGTTTAGGTATTTTTTTAATATTTTGAAAAAGAAGAATAGTTTGTTTTTAAGAAATATGTAAACAAATGAGCTATTTTCCAGCTTTATTGTTTATTGTTACTCTATTTCATCTCATTACAAGTATCTCTATATTCTTTCTACTTTTTCTAAGGCGAATTTCGCAAATCAGGCCTAGTAAGGCGGAAAGAGTGAAAAATAGAATGAAAACGACATGTGAGGAATTTATATCGGCTCCGCTAGAATTGAATAGTTTCACCGCTCTAGTCGAATTGAGGAAGAGAGAAAGGAAACGCTTGCACGTCATAAAATATTTAACGCTACTCAAAGACGCTTCCACTCAGGCTCCAAGCTTAAAAGTAGATAACGCGATTCAAACTCATCTAGAAAATTCCTCAACGTTCGTTACGGATCAATCACTTACGCCGGATGGATATCAGATATACTCCGATGATTTAGAAGTTTAGAAATATATCCTTCCTCTTATTTCACTCTTTTTCGTCTACTCTCCTCTCCTTTTGACTCTATTATTCCATCTTGTAGGTGTGTCTTTGAAAGTCTCTTTCTTTTTTTACCCACTTCCGGAAATGGCAACGTAAAAAGTGTAGACGGTAAAAATAGAACGGTTGTAACTTATTTAGAACAGTTTAAAAGGATGAAAGAAGCACTCCGAACTGTAAAGAATCCTATACAAAAAAAAGGGATCGGTGCCAATTCCGAATAGCTTTCCTTTCGACATGGCACCGTATAAAAACTAGTTATTAGAAGCCGTGAATCGAAGGCGTCTTTCGTCTAGTATGATACCTAGAGAGGAGGCGTAACATTGAAAACATTCTTCCATCAATTATATCTGAAAGAGCTGAGAGAGAAAGTTTAGCAATTTTCGTCCCCCTATACTTCACTAAAAGTTGTGGCAAATTTCTTACAAACTACAGCAGATTTACTTGGATAAATGAATAGGTACACCGCACTTTCAAGGTTAACCCGAAAGCTACAGTTTTTCCAGGAGAACACTTTACCAAATGTGTCATTGAGTGGATTTTTCAAGTAGCATTATGAGAATTCTATTTAAAAAATGACGAGCACTAGATGACTAGTACTAGATGCCAGTTTTCTTTCTTTTTTTCCACTTTTTATCAAATATGCGCAAGTTTAATGACAGCCCTATTGGCAAACTTCAACTCTAGGCATATAATTCTTTTTTTGTTCAGTCAGTTAAGAAATAAATACAGTAAGAATGTTTAATTGGTATAAAAAATATTTGACGTCTACTCCGCTTTTGTTCAAGTATTATGCTTAATTTATTATAAGGAAAATGCGGTAGATATATTTTATAGTTATAGTTGAAGAAGAGAGTTATAGGATTGAGGAATACGTAAAACATGACCCGAGAACCATTGAGGTAAAGGAACTGTCTGTATCTACAAGAAAAAGGTTATTCCGTAATTATTATCGCTAGTAAAATGCTAATGAAATTCTCTTTCTCCCTTTGACTGTCTCTAGCCCAAGTATAAAAAAATTAGCACGTTATACAATAAGCTAAAGCGCCATCTATCCAAAATAAAAATCGATATTACTCTCATCTTTTCCTCTTTTTTTTTTTTCCTCTCCTTTTCCGTCAACACCTTCTAGTTGGAACAACGTCTTAACTTTTGCGTGTTCCTATTAGCTGTAAGTTGATGTGAAGTTCTTTGGAGGATGCATTGATTTGATAATATTTCTGTTGGACCTCCTACCTTGCTATTCGGAAAAAAAACGAGGGGCATTATTTGTCGAGAGGAAAATAAATAAAAGCCGTCTAACTAACGAATGCATTTGATTATCACATTGCTTATGCAAATAAGCCTAGAATCTACACTCTCTCTTGTTTTTCCTTCCACCCTTATCTGGTCTGGTGAGCTATAGCGTGGAAACTGTTTATTTCTACATTCCCCTAGGCGACCGCCTCTAAATTACATATAGTCCATGCAGCATCCGGCTTTTCCTCTTCTCGAAACGGCATTAATTAGGCTCTTATCTTTGTCTTATCTGACTTATTTTAGATAAAGACGATTAGGCCTAGATATCTTTCCAAAGGAAAAGGTAGAATATAGACCTAGAGAGAGATGAGATTGTCTTGCCTACAGGGTCTCTACAGGTGTTTGTTACGCGGTCCGACTCGATTCTTAAGAGGTGCATCACCAACTCGGCGAACCAGACTACTTACATATTGATGAAGGCGGCGCGCATGCGCTCAACAGTCGCTCTCTGCAGTATACGGCCGCAAACTTTGCAGTATTGCGGTAGGGATTATCCAGATGGAGTCTGTTGGAGGATAGACGACAAATACGAGTTATATTTTTTAAAGTCATGCAGTACGGTGACGTTTCAGACGCGGAAAATCGCGTCATATTAAACGTCGGAGGAATAAGGCACGAAACTTATAAAGCAACATTGAAGAAGATCCCGGCGACAAGATTATCGCGATTAACGGAAGCCTTAGCGAATTACGACCCGGTTTTAAACGAGTACTTTTTTGACCGTCACCCAGGAGTGTTCGCACAAATCTTGAATTATTATCGAACTGGAAAACTGCATTATCCGACGGATGTTTGCGGTCCACTTTTCGAAGAAGAGCTCGAATTTTGGGGTCTTGATTCGAATCAAGTAGAACCGTGCTGCTGGATGACTTATACCAGTCACCGGGACACTCAGGAGACGTTACAAATATTGGATAGATTGGACTTGGATACGGATAAACCTACAGAAGAAGAAATGATGAAAAAATTCGGTTTAGAGGAGGAATATCAAACAGGCGACTTGAATTGTTGGCAAAAAGTTAAGCCGAAAATTTGGGCGCTGTTCGATGAACCTTATTCGTCCACGGGAGCCAAGGTAAGTTACAAATTAGATTAGAAATAAGTAGTTTCGAATCGGGAATATTCGCACGCAATATTTAAGTAATCTACTCTAAAAAAAGAATCTGTTACACTAACCGTACCGTCATCCTATATAGTTGATAATAGGTAAACTTGTAAAAAACAAAAAAAAAAGATGTCGCTCTTTCCGCTGCTGTTGCTGCTGTTGCTGCCGTTTGCTATTCTACTTCCCCTTTTTCCGTTTCCAATAAAAAGTGGAAAACGTAAAAATGCTTGGACTATGCATAACACTATAAAAGTGATAAAACTCTCATTTTATGATACACACGTATGGATAAATCAGTATAAAATTATTACTACGAACGTAATATTAGTGTTCTCGCCTTTATTTCCCTTCTTTTCTTCTTCCCAATCAAACGAACTAAAAACTAACGTATTTTCGACCCTAAAAGGAAAATTTTTTCTCTAATTTCTTTGTTTTCTTTCTACTTCCAAATAGTTTTTTCCTTTTGTTTTGCATATATGAATTCTCTTTTGACTCTCACGCAATCGACGTTTGTTTATTTTGTGTCTAGATTAATTTTCATCTATAATCTTTCCTCTCTTGAGGCGGCGATAACCTCTTCATTCTCTTTAAATTCCTCTGCACGTACATAATCGTGGTATTACTCAGTCTTAAGCTCGTAATAGCCAGGTTTCTTCTTCTTTTCTTCCTATGAAAGCTCCTTTGAACTGGAACACATGTAATGTTTCTATATTTAGACTGATACGTAATATACGTTTATGCGAATACTACATAAAAAATGATCAAGTACCCGAAAAAAAGTACTCTCCTCTCATATAATATATAAATAGCATACTTTTAGCCTCTAAACGAGTAAGCCTCTTTTTATCGAATCTGTTTTTGGTCAATTTCTAGTAAGCCGTCTGCTAAACAAGATACTTTTCCTTCTAACTAACGGAAAATTTCACTAGGAGATGAAATTTTCTCGTTTTATTCTCTTTCAATATTTTCCTTTCCATTTTATTTGCAGAATTTTTTTTATTTTTGCCTTTTTGGGGACTAAAATCATTTTTATAAAAGTTATAACAAGACAATTCCATCCTATTCACTTTATTTCTTTTTCTCTTCTCTTTAATTATCTTTTCTTTTCTTCAAACATAAATTAGTTCACTTTGGATAAAACTCTCCATGATTACATCATCTAATAGTTCAGTTTGGCGTCAAGGTATTCCTTCTGGGGGGCGATTTTCCAGACGCCTAATTCATATACCATTATCCTGTTTAGCAATTTCCAGGGAATCTGCAAATTTAGCTGAGATAAGAAAATTTGTGGAATGTCTCTTCTTTTGCTCTTCTCCAAGTATTATGCATTCAGAAGGATTTAAGTAGAACTTTGTATGAAGAAGGAGATGGTAAAATAGAAACAAGAAGGAATACTTTTTCGTATCTATTCATCCATAACTTATAGAGAAGATATATCACGTGATGCAATACCTTGCTGATCATACTGTCATTTGTAAAGAATGGAGAAAACCTATATCCCTACTGTAATTATTTTCAGTCGACCTTGATTATTTTTTTTATCACAGCAAGTGGCTTTCGTGGTGTTGCAGAGAGAGAGATTTTCTATACTGGGGGCCACTTGGTATTTTCCTTATTAATTCTTTGTTAGTTAAGCCTATACACAGCGTGAAATTATTATTACTGAATGAAAATTATTTGTTAATTGCAGTTGACATATTGCAGTTTTACAGGGAATAGCTCTGCCTAGTTTCGTGTTCTATAAATCTATTATGAGTGAGTCACGTACTGCAAGATGTGCCTATATACTCTCTGTCTATAAATAATATACCCTATAGGCCTATGCTAGAGCAGATTGATAGTAATTTCATTAAAGACGATGAAACTTTGGATACGTCTGTGGTTTTACTTTTAAAAGCTAAATGCCTAAAGCCGTATGATGGTTTTAAGACGACGTTAAGCACAAATAAGGCATCAGCGACCGTCTCTTTGACACTAAGATAAAGATTGAAGTTAAATTGTAAAAACATACATAAGAGTTGAAAGGATATATCCAAGCCTATCAAGTGATACAAGAAATAATGTAATAAACAAAACAATGTTAATTAAATACTGAAAGAAAAAGGATGAGATACTGAGTGAGTGAGTTAGCGAGTGAGTGAGCGAGTGAGTGAGTGAGTGAATGAGTGAATGGTGAGTGGGGAAAGAGACGGAGAGGGAGAACGGAAAAGGAGAACAAGATTAGGAAAAGAGACGAGAGATAGATAGATAGATAGATAGATAGATAGATAGATAGATAGATGGATAAATAGAATGAGAGAGATGACAAAACAGCCGAGATGGATAAAGAGAAACAGAAAGAAACATACAAAAATGGGAGAGACAGAGAGAGGGAAAGGTAGAAAAAGTAAAAGGAGAAAAAACAAAAAAAGATAGCGTACAGAGAAGCAGAAAATTAGTTATTGAACAAATAGTAAAAGGTACAAATAGAATAGGGGAAGAGAACAGAGAAAGAACAGAAAGAAAGAGAGAGAAAGATTGGGAAACGAATGAGTGAGTAAGTGAGTGAGTGAGTGAGGGAAAGTTGAAGAAGAGAAGAAATTAGCCATTGCCTGCAGTAAATCCAACTACCTAACATGAATAAGATCTGGATTTGATATTCTCCTGCACTTTGCACTAACGATTAACACAATAGTCGTTCTATTCACTTTAGTCATAGGTTTTTCGTTAAAACTCGCGTTAACACTAATAAATAGCTTACGTATTACGGTACATTCCTTTTTGTAAATAATTTATGGATTTCCGTTTGGGAATTCATTTAAGACTACTTGTTTCCCCTCAAAGTATGTTAATTTAGTTAATTATTCATGAAGTAGCATTGCATGCACATATTGATCGAAACTAAAAATATATACACTTGTATACATATCTAACAGTGGGCATAATAATAATAATAATAATAATAATAATAATAATAATAGTAATACTATTAATAATTATATATACATATATATTAGTATGTATATTACTTTGAAATTATTACCCATAAGTTACATTTTTATCTGCTCTTGAATGCTTAAAGAATTCATAAAAACTAGAACAGTGCATACTAAAATTTCCAATGTTTACCATTAAATCATTCCGATACTGAAATGCTTAACCATGGATTAAACGTATTCTATACTTTGTTCTAAAATAATAACTAGTTAGGGTATATTTGCTTGAAAACGTATAGATTTCGTATAACATTATACACGTGTGTACTATTTACTCTTCTTTTATTTATTTATTCGAACATAGTGACTTTTATGGCTGTTTTTCCATTTTCACCTTCTTTATTTATTCATGTAGAAATAAAAAAAAATACAGTCGACCCAGTTACTAGTCAACAACGGAATATGACGCGCTTTACACACCTGCTTGCCTCGTCTTGGTATAATCAACTATTACCATACCTTACCTTTTCTTTATTTTTTTCGCTCTTTTACTACTCAATGCCGTAAAACGAACGGCTTTCTTTTTACAAGGATGCTTTATAATAGTAATTTGTTACTTACTTTACCTGCACCTAGTATAAAAGTATTGTACAACCTACCTAAATGTAAACATGTGTATATGTTTTAAAATTTTGGATGAAGGCTTTCCTTTGTTCATCCTTTACTCTTTCCCTTGTCTAAATAACGTTAGTTGGTTTTTTTTGTCAATGCTATTTTTCCCTTAGGTTTACATACATATATATATCGTTTTTCTAGTCCTATTAAGACGTTTAATTCAAGTTTTTTGCCTGTAAATCGAATATTTCTTTTTTAGTTTTTTCTTTACAAGTCAGCTTATTCTTACAAATGAAGTATGAGTAGATTATTTTCACAGAAATTTGATGCTTTCCCAGTCAAAATATTTGCAATTATTTAACTATCCGGTACTCTATTACGGCCTATTTATTCTACGCAGACCACACTCTAATAGAGTTTCCCTCTACGATGAGAGGCGAAGTAGTAATTGTAATTTCTTATCTTTGGCTAATTTCTCTTACGTTGCGTATGATTCTAGTCATTATGTTTATCAATTTGTATAGGGGCTCACTCTTTTTCTCTCTCTCGCCTTCTCAACCTCCATCCCTCATCATCATCTCTCTGTCTCTCTCTCGTTGTAGCCTTTTATATTTATTGTATGCTTTTATCTTTGCTCTGCAATATTCAGATGCTCTCTATATTGCATATAAAGTATACCGCATGTGAATACTGCGTATACATACTGTATGAGCGCTTATCGAGAGTTATACAATCATATATTATCTAACATTTAAGTATATTTAGCATGAGTGCAGCTAAGTCTGCTCTATCATATACTCCTTTGCTTTTGCTTTCTCACTCAATTCATCTCTCTTTCTTTTCCATTCACTCTACTTTTTTTAAAATCAGAACTTAGACAAATAGCTCTAATTACTGAGAAAACTGAAAAGCCATTCGATTGAAATTGATGTCCATTAGCCTTTTCTTTACGAGCAACACGTGATGTAGGTCATGTGATTATTTTTGTGACTTGCCAGTTTAGCTAATGAAAAATAATGTTTGTCAGTGAGATGTTTCTACTCTTAATAAATTATGGCTAGGTGATAGATGCCTTTTGTTAATGAAATATATCAGGTACAGCACTGTGATAAAACTATTGATGCAATAAACGACCAACTCAATAGTTTGTTCTACAGGCGTATATATTTTTACAGGGCCTCCCTTGCAGACTTTTCCTAATTGAATAAGATATATTAAGTTAAAGCCATGAAATATAATACATTCCCCCCTCTTTCCCACCTTTTGTTTAGTTTCATTTTTAATAAGAAGCACATTTATACGATTGTATGTGCAGCACCTGGATTTTTAAAACTATTATGAAAAGGGAAAATAAGCTTATAAAAAAATATAAAAAAAATAACAACGCCATTTGTTTATCTATCGATTTTTTCCATTCCCAGATCACTTCATCTTTCACTT